CTTTTCCTTCTGAAGCCCTTTCTACAGTGGCAATTTATTGCAATTGTAAGTTACATATTTTACGTTTTTAAATGCTAAGCCCCGCAATGAGCAACTAAAGAAATGCGTTTAGTTGGTCAGGAATAACTACTGGGGGAGGGTGAAAGGCAGTTTCATTCCATTGGTACCAAAAGAAACTTCTGACACTGTCCTCATGTTCTCTGGTCATGAGAGTGATGTGCAATTTTTAAAAGAGACACAAGATTAAGTTGGAATCTGACTGAAACCCTATTTCAATGAAATATTATAGCAGTGCATCCATTTTCCCTGTTAGAGATCCTAGTTTTGCTACCAAACAAATGGTATTGAACCTTACAGGGATGAAAAAAGAACACATGGAACTGCAGTTAATATTTAGAATAGAATAAGCTTTATTGTCACATGTACTCAAATAAGCACAGTGAAAACTTTGCAAGTCGCTACTTAGGTACTAAAGGTGCAGTTTCTTAAACACCAATTCTTAGGGAAAAAATTAGGAAAAAAAAAGAAATAAAAAGTCCAGCATTATAGATCATAAGAACAAATTAGAAAAATATAGAATAATTTCTGAATAACAGTCCTTCCAACCCAGTTCATGCCACCCCTTGACTCTGGACCATGTGGGCTTCACCTCAACATTTGATTTGGACTTGTTTTATTAAAAGAGGAAAACAAATACTCATAGTAGAGTTGGAATCAAATCTACAGTTCATTAGTACTGTAGAAATTAAACAGTAAAGGGTACCTAAACTGCAATAGATTTGGAAAGCACTCTGTATTGGCCATAAATTGTTTTAATTTTGTTACAACATACAAATTGATCGTACTTGGCTACAATTTAAAAACTATTCTACTATCCCTTGCCTTCATGGACGTGCCCTTGCAGTACTCTCAATCATTTGGAACCTGACAGCAGAATTTCATGTTTACATTGCTGCTTGTTCCACTTCCGTGTCAGCAAGCGAAGTCAGCACAACATTGCAAACAGTAATATTGCCAAAAGATGCATCTAAGTGGAAATGGCTTTGTCGTAGTGTTGACTACATGGGAGTATATCCTAAATCACACACTACTTTGTAATACATACAGGTATTGCAGGTAATGCACCCATTAAGGTGTTTAGAGTTAGAGAGTTTGTGATGCTTGCTATTTTCCCACACAATTAGTGAAGAACCTATATTGTGGCCGATACAGTTACGATTCTAAAGCTATCTGACATAGCAAGTCTGGAGCATGCTCCAGTTAGTGACTAAAATTGAAAAAAGCTTTCCTTATAACTTCTTGGGCATTTTAAATATTCTATTTAGCAAAATGAGTTCAATTTAATCAGTTACTTTAATAATACAAATAATTGAGCATTATGAATGCAAGATATTCTAATTTTTCAGGAACTGAAATACATAATGCAATAAATCAAAAGCACACCTTTCCAATAATAGAAGTCCCCACTGCTCTGCCCTCACTTATGGTATTACTTCTTATTCTCCATAGCATAGTGCCGACAATGGGGAATTATAGCTCACAAGGCCAAGGGGAGACTTTTTCCCCCCCAACTAGATAGTGATTTTATTATAGGATAGGACAAAGATGCAGCCTCAAGATTACTTTAGCCACAATGGGAATATAATCTTGTGATCTTGATGCTAGTCTGAGCTATACATCAATCAGCTAGACAACGGAACTAACCACCTCCCTGAAAATAGAGGTTTTATTACAAGGTTGTAGACATACTCGCCAAGCCGGTGGGTTTGGTTGCAAACATTTTACCACCCTGCTAGGTAACATCGTCAGTGTGCCTCTGGTGAAGCATCTGCATTCTGTCCCGCTTGTTATTTATATGCCACAACACATTGCAGCAACCCAGAACTACACAAAGCAGAACAGGAGCACGTATACAAAGTCTTCAAAAGGAATGGATACCTGAAAAGCACAATCCGCCGTTACCTCCAAGACAGACCACAACAGGAAGACACAACACAACCAGACTCACTAGTCACTCTATTGTACATCAAGGACATTTCAGAGATGACCACAAGACTACTCAGACCCCTAGGTATCAGGGTAGCCCACAAACCAACAAACACCCTACGACAGCTACCTGATGAATGTAAAGGATCTCATACCCAAAACCAGGAAAACCAGTGTAATATATGAAATACTGAGAGAAACACTACATAGGCCAATCCAGAAGAAAACTGACAACACGGATACACGAACACCAACTAGCCACCAAGAGACACCACCAATTCTCACTTGTCTCGCTACACACAGACAATGAAGGATATAAATTTGACTGGGACAACACAGCCGTAATTACACAAGCCAGACAAAGACACACCAGGGAATTCCTGGAGGCCTGGTATTCTAACCAGGAATTGAATATTGAATTAGATGCGGGGTGTACAAACTGCTGAGAAACAGAACCGGAAGTGGTACCAAAACACCCCAAACTGAGGCACATAAATAACAAGCGGGACAGAACACTGAGGCTTCAGCGAAGGCACACTGACGATGTTACCTAGCAGGGTGACAAAACGTTTGCAACCAAACCCAACAGCTCAGAGCGCACGTCTGTAACCTCATCCATAAGCCAAGCTACAAATCTTCTCAGAAACTAAGTTTCATTACATTTTTATAACCTTGAAGAGTTTTGTCAGCATAAACTGAGAAATATTGCTTAGTTCAGTTGGGGAGTCAGTAACAAGGTGTTAACTTGAAATGGTCACAAAGATAGTGATGCATGCTGCACAGTACAATGTTTTTCTGGAGACTATTGCATCTTTTAATATAGAGGATAAATATTTGAAATAGGAACAGCGCAAATAGGGGAAATAGTCAAAAACAAAACTGGAATGGCATTCTTCCACACTCTAAACTTGAGCAGTTAAATGAAATAAAAAGTGTAAACAGTCAAATATCAGTCTACCAATTAAATACTACAGTTAAGGTTCTAAACACAGCTGATTAGACTACTGACATTTAGGCATCACATTACTTAATGGAAATTAAAATAAAATACCATGTGTACGCACACCTTATTTGTATCCTAAATATCCACACCCTCCACCATCTCCCTGCACCAGCATTTTGTGGCTGAAGTGTACACTGTCCACAAAATATAAAACAGTAACTTAATGAAGGGTTGCGCAGAACTTCAAGCTCCTTGACGAGGAGAGCAGCAAATGCAATTTTCTCTAAGGCGCCCTATGATTCTCAGAGCATTCCAATGTGGATATTTATCATCATTCCCTCATAAATCTCAACATTAAAATTCTGAACTCTTTAACAAAAATGTAATTGTGGGAGTACTTTCATCACACAGTCTACAGTGATTAAAATAGCATTCATCACACCTTCTCCAGGGAACTAAAGATATTTTGATGTTTTTGCTCCCATTAAGAACGAAAAAAATCGAAAATCTAATTTCACATTGTAGCAACAGAGAAAGAACGGAAGCTTGAATAGAAGAAAGTCATTTTCAAGCAATGTTTAGAACAGCACTAGAGTTAAGATTTTAAAAACAGCAATAAATCATTCATGCCTTTCTAGCTTCAACATTTCCTCCCTGAAAATTCAAAGTTAACTATTTTAAATGGCTCAAAAAAATCAAGATGGAAATTAAATTTTGCATTCCCTTGTTCCTCATTTAATCTAGTCACTCCTTTGCCTCTATTAAAAAAGGCAGATTTATAACTGCAATAGTGTTGTCTTGTCCCAAGAGATCAGTAATTCAATCCTGGAATCTGAATAGACGCACTTAGTGTAGTCAAATTTTAGATGAAATCAAAAGCCAAACAGAGATATATTTAAAAGTTGCATTTTATAGCACCTTTTAGGAATTCAGATATATGAACTCACTGCTTCACCAACAGTGAGCAATTCTTTGAATTGCAGTTACTAGTTAGCAACATTACTTTCCTTACATTTGGCAGAAGTACAGAAACAAATTTTCAGAAATGTTTAAAAACAATTGAGAGAGTGTTGAACACTACTGAAAGTTGACTGGAGTATACCATATATTGGCTCTCAATGACGACACACAATACATCCTTATTACGGATATCTGCAAACATGACTTAAATCTCCAAGCTCCTGTGCGGAGTCCTTTTTATAAGTTTAATAAAAACCCACATCAATACCACCATCTTTAATGTGGGAAAGCAGCTGAAGTATCATAGAGAGCTGTAAACAAACAAAACTGAGAGCCATAAGATGATATTTAGATGGGTGATTAATAACACGATGTAGGCTTTGGGGGAGGTCTTAAAAAGGAGTGAAGGATAGAGTGGCAGAAAGATTTAGTTAGGTAATTCCAGTGCTTAAGAGTCTAAGCAGCTTAAAGAGCCAACCAATGGTGGAGTAAAATAAATGCAAGGTGAACAAGAAATCACAGTTGAAAGAAGAGAGATCTTGAGCACTGCAAGAGCTTAAAAAGATAGCGGAGGTTACTCGAGGATCTGAAAGCATCTACTGTACAAAGTACAGTGTGATGACTACATTTGGTACAATTTGGGATTCAAAGGCAGCAATGTTTCATAAATACAAAATAAGTAGCACTGGGGGATAATTTATGTAAAAATTATGTGGAGTATTATTTCCTGACCTCAGCCCTAAAATTTTCTTTTAATAGTTTAAATCCAAGTTTATATTAAATTAAAATTGGCAGTAGAAATAGAATGTTTTAGATTAGCTAAAAAAAAGTCATTTCAATTGCATATATCCTAGACAAAGGTCCTTTCTCAGATGCCTGCTTTACAGGCTGAAATAAGCATGTTTCTCTACTTTCTTTGCTACTCTGATCCTTGACAACACACATCAGCATCATAACAATTCCCTGTACTGCTGCGAGCATTTAATGCCCCTAGTTTCTTGGCTATCATAACTAGATAGAGTATTCAAGGTGAAATAAGACAAAGGTGCCTATAAAAGTTTGATTATTACATCCTCCGACATATTCTATATTCTCATAACTTCATCCTTACCTATTTCATCATTCATAGCACGTATGTTGCCAATTTTTCCTTCCTATGTGAAGCACTTTACATTTGTCTGCATTAAATTTCATCTCATTATCGGTCTTCTCCCTTCAGCCAATTCATTCTGTAATTTCTCAACCACCTCCTCCAGTTTCACCTATCCTGCTGATTTGAAAGCAAGTGCAATATTAACCACATTGCACCAAGTTCTTAAATCAAAAATTAGGAAAAAAAACAGTTAACGTTTCGGGTCCAGTGACCTTTCCTCAGTTCTGACTCTTTTTCCTTCACAGATACTGCCAGACCTGCTGAGCTTTTCCAGCAATTTGTTTTGTTTCCTGATTTACAGCATCCGCAGTTCTTCCTAATTTTTGTTAAAAAAAACAGAATAGTATTAGTCCCAGCACCATGATGAGGCATTCCACCCTGACACAGATCTTCCAAACAGTATTTATTATAACGGTACATACATATTATTCACTCTTAGTCACTATAACAAGAGCTGTCCACTCTGTTGTCCCTCTCTTCTACACGAGAACGGCAGACCAGAGAATTTTATAACCAGGAAGATGATGGTCAGCTTCTGGGCTGGCTGCCAACTAGAACAATTCAAATTTAATTTTTTTGCATTTTCTTTTCCTACACTTAATGTTTATACGTTGTAACACCCTGAACATACTTAAAAATTAAACAGAAGTCACATGATAAAGAAAGACTCTGAAACAGCCAAACTCTCATATAATATTGGATCAAGTCTGCAGACGTTAACATACCTTCTCTTTAAGATGACTCCACAAAACATCAGGACAATTAGGTGAAACAGTCCTTCACAGATAGTCATGAAGCACCATATGTAGATGATGCAAATTTCCAGGTTTACCCCAGAGTTTGGAAATTTTGCCAGAACTAAAAAAGAGAATTCTAAATTTTTTTCATGTACTTTTAAGAATTTCCACCTACAGTTCTGTTAGAAGTCCAACAGCAAAGAATCATTAGATCTAGGCTGCACCACAAAATGCTGAAGAATCATTTATGATTAGATATCAATTTTTTTGTTATAGCTCTAATAATTAGTTATTCAATTTGCACCTAAAAGTACAAGCTACAGCTCATAT